GTTTCTTAGTAAAATATAAAATAAAAGAGTCAAAATAGAAAAAATTATTGAAGATTGCATAAAAATTTTAACTCTTTATATTTAAAAATGTTTTCTACAATGCATAATATGCTCTTTATAAATAGTCTCTTAAAAATACCCTTATGCCTGCGAAATTGCACAATTCTCCAAGTAGTGATTCAAGTGTTGGATATGAGGAACTATGATTTACACTTTACCACATGTCAAATTGTGATTTGACAGTTTAAAAAAATAGTTTTTCAATCAATAATTTTTTTACAACAAGAACAATGTCAACAAATGTGTAAATATTGGAATGTACAAATGACATTATCCTTGGATTTAATCTTCTCGATATTTATGAGATTTGTTTTTTCCTCTTTTCCTCTTTCTCCCGTTCTTTTCCTCTTATAAACTTTAAATTTTCTCTTCAAATTATTTCTTCTGGACTTATGAATATTTTGGACTTGTGGCTTATGATTTCTCTTGGACTTAACTATTTATAGAGAAATCTTGAAGCTGTCTTTTTTATTTTATTTTTTAAATACATTTTATGGAATCCTAAAATAGGATGGGCTTCTTATAAAAATGAGTCGTAATTAGGGGCGGACCGAAGGGGGATCCTGAGGGCAGGTGCCCCTCAACTTTTGAGATTCCTTTTTTTTTTTTGTTTTTTAAAACATTTGTTATCGGTTGAAATTTAAATTTTAATCTAAATCAAAGTTAACAATTAATTTTAATAACATATTTCATAGAATTCATAACTGTTTAATTTGTACCAAAATTTACTAAAAATTTGATTTTAATCTCCACCAAATAGGGGTAAAATCAAAATAAATTTGAATTTCGAAATATACAAATTTTAAAAATTCTCCGACGATCGTACGCTAATCGAATCTACAAANAAAATTTGATTTTAATCCCCACCAAACAGGAGTAAAATAAAAATAAATTTGAATTTCGAAATATACAAATTTTAAAAATTCTCCGACGATCGTACGCTAATCGAATCTACAAATTATTTATATCATTTCGAAATTTATTTCAAGAATTATATTATAGACATATCGAATAGTTCAAACATATATCGAAAATAGTTAAAAATACATTGAACGTGAACCTTGAAAAAGACATCTAACTCGCATTTTTTTTTAAAAAAAAAATTCAATTATTTCATTAACATTTATTATTTTTATGATACAAATTTCTAAATGTAATTTTCATCATTTTATTACATTCGAAAAATTCATATCCCTGTAAATTTTTGGATGTAAAATTATATGGAATATGACTTTTTTGGACGTAAATTTTCGATTGTAAAATTTCTATTAACTTCTTTATAAGTTTGATTGTGCCCCCAACGTTAAAGTTCTGCGTCCGCCCCTGGTCATAATAGACTTTAGCTTTAATAAACATATTTATTTATTTAGTTTTAGGTTCACAAATATGATTCTTTCTTTCAAAACTCAATTCTATCTTCAAGTTACTTTGTTGTTTAAATATCCAAGTTAATTCATTATTTTTGAGTTGCGATTTCAAGTTAAGATCAAGCACACATAATCAGGCAAACGGTGTGGGGACGTTTTGGCGTTTTACATACTACAATGCTTGAGTGGAAACCAGAGCGTATTGCTCTTTGTAACTTCGAAGGAATATCAGCCTCAATATTGCTTTCTAATTTTACGGGGGCTTGAGCTTCTGATGTAGCAGGTGGCATTGCAGGGACAAGTTGAATGACTGACTTGTGCCAATTTTTCATCT